ACCAGGTGTCCTCAAACTAAGGCCCGGGGGCCGGATGTGGCCCTCCAAGGTCATTTATCCGGCCCTTGCTCAGGGTCAACCTAAGTCTGAATTGACTTGAAAGCACACATCAACAACAATCCTATCTCATCAGCCAAAAGCAGGCCCACACTTCCCATTGAAATACGAGTAAGTTTCTATTTGTTAAAATTGTTCTTAATTTTAATCATTGTATTGTTTTTAAGTGTATTTGCAGTCCAAATAAGACATGTGCAGTGTGCATAGCAATTCATTCAAGATTTTTTTCAAATTATAATCCGGCCCTCCAACAGTTTGAGGGACTGTGACCTGGCCCTGTTTAAAATCTTTGAGGACACCTGGGTTATACCCTTGTGCCAGCAGGATTGAAGACCAACAGGTCGGAAATTCAAATCCCGGGAAAGCGGGTTGAGCTCCCTCTGTCAGCTCCAGCTCCCCATGCAGGGGCACACAAGAAGCCTCCCACAAGGATGGTGAAACATCAAAACATGTGGGCAATGTCCCCAGGGCAATGTCCTTGCAAACGACCAATTCTTCTCTTGCAGTTTCTGAAGTAGCTCCTGAAACATACAAAAACAAACTCGGGGATGGTCTGTATATGTACGTATATGTATATACACACACGATATATCATAAATTTGGGAGGGACCCCAAAGGTCATCCAGACCATTCTTCTTTCTGCCAGGCAGGAAGGCACCATCCAATCCCTCCCAATAGAGGGCCATCCAGCCATAGGTATCACTGAGGTTCAGACAGTCCCCAAGATGCAAACAAGTATTTTGTTCTTAAGTCATAATCTGTATGCAAGTTGGAACAGGGACTAAGCTGTTTCTCAGACTCTGCCCTGTGTATCGTAATATGGTTTTTTTTGTTTATTTTAATTACTTATTAATTGCCCTCCATCCGAGAATGCTCTAGGCAATTTACAGCTAAATTGTAAAAGATAAAATATGCATCGCAATGCATTTTAATCTATGTACGAGGGTTGAATGAAAAGTAATGCCTCCACCTTTATTACTTGGGTTTGGATGGGAATATTTTAATAAATCAAATGCAGAAATGATCCTTAAAATGTGCTCTTTAACTACCACTATTCACTTTTCCCACATAATCACCAGGCAATTGGATACATTTCTGCCAACAATGAAGAAGTTTTCTGAAGCCATCACAGAAGAAGTTGACACTGTTTCCGCAACCAGCATCTCACGGTTCTCTCTTCCTGGGTACCCATCGTGCACAGATCTTCCAATAGTCAAGCAAAGCAATAATGTGACCCACACGTTCTTGTGAAATGCCTATTATGCTTGAAATTTCTCTGAGTGATACGACGATCGTCCTGAATCAACCTGTCAACTTTCTGGTTCTGCAACTTGGTGGTTGCTGTCACAGGACATCCAACTCTCTGTTTGTCACGCAAGTCAGATATTCCTGCCTCAACATCTTTAAACTTATTCACCCAACAATGCACAGTACTCACATCAACACAATCACCATAAACAGCTTGCATTCTCTGAGGAATCTCCTTTGGGGTGACACCTTCTGCTGTCAAGAATTCAATGACTGCACGTTGCTTAAGTCGCATTGACCGACCCTCTGCGCAGGGTTCCATACTTCGCACTTTAACAACACAACCCTTCAATGGTAAGCCTTCCCGCCAAAATGGAACTGTAAAGGAGAGTCTACTGAACAAGCCAGTACCTGCCACATACCAGGACTGCAATCTGTTGAGGAGTTTCAAAGGGGGAAGGCATTACTTTTCATTCAACCATCGTATTTTACATAATGGATGTGTTTCTAACCATCAGAAGGGTGACTACAAGAAATAATAACAATAAGAATGACTTTATTCACATCGCACCCTATCTCCCCGAGGAGACTTGGGGCAGCAAATTAAACACCAAATAACATAAATAACAGCATTCAGGGATTTACATACAGCATCTCAGTCCAAATGAAACAGCCAATAGTAATGCACAATTGTAATTAAAACGATACAAACAGAGTTATACCTGCATTATGTCAGGGCAACACTTCATTCTAGTGAGGTCATCAAATGGGAATGCCCTCCTGAGAGAAAATTGGTCCCGAGGAGGACTAGGGAATGACCACCAGTTAAAGAGTGATTCGATTGGTTATCATCATGGTACTCTGGCCTTGGCTGGTACTGTTGGATATTATGACAATTGTCGCTAACTTGATTTTTT